TCATTCGCTATTTTTCCATCATTTTGTTCTTCCGGAACATTAATTCTCGATGGAACATTTGCCGCGGGTATATATGACTTTGTCACTCTTTTCGTATCTGTGAACGCATCTGGTATTTCATTTGCCATATTTTGTAAATGAACAATTTTCTGAACTTCGAGTTCACGTTGTTTCGTAGGGGGATCAAGGTGCAACAAAGATGGTGTGCACCATGTAACATCTTTTGGAACTTCTTTAATTCCTCCCCCTAACGCTGGAAATTCATCTTCATTAAAATGGCAATCGGCAAAACGTGCCGTAAACATATCACCAGTTTGCGGTTCAAGATACCTAATTATACTCGGTGACGTATAACCGATATATATTCCCAATCTTCTTTGCGGCCCCATTTTTAATCTTTGTGGCGGGGCTATCGGAACATAAACCGCACACCCGAACACACGTAGGTGGGATATATTTGGCTCCTGGCCAAATGCTAATTGTATTGGGGAATATTTATTATAAGAACTCGGTCTTATCTGAAGCAATGCCGCTGCATGCAAGATAGCATGACCCCATACTGAAATTGGGAGCTTTGTTCTCAATATTAACGGTCTAGCAATGAGTTGTAACCGTTTAATCAATGACTCAGCCATGCCGTTTTGTGTGTGAACATGTGCAACAGGATGTTCAACATCAATTCCCAATGACATACAATAATCATTAAAAGCTTGGGAAGTGAATTCACCAGCGTTATCAAGTCTTACTTTCTTTATCATATAATCAGGGAACTGTGCTCTCAACCTGATTATTTGGGCAATGAATTTTGCGAAAGCCGTATTACGTGTTGTCAATAAACACACATGTGACCATCTACTGGATGCGTTAATTAATACCATAAAATATCGAAATAGCCCGCATTGTGGGTGAATAGGCCCACATATATCACCATGTATTCTCTCTAGGAATACTGGAGATTCATTCCCGATTTTAGCTAGTGATGGCCGAGTTATAAGTTTTCCTTGAGAACAAGCATTACACATAAATTCTCTCGATTGAAAAATCTTCTGGTTTTTCAACGGATGGCCATTAGAATTTTCCACAATTCTCCGCATCATGACTGAACCAGGATGCCCTAATCGTTCATGCCAGATTTTAAATGTACTTGTAAACTTCGGGTTTACAGTAACATATGATTCAGTCATATTTATCTTTGTGGAATATATTCCGGAGGATAATGCTGGTAATATTTCCAGTACAACTTTTCTCTCCGAAATAACTGATGTAATGCAAAGATATTCAATGCCATTCTTATTCATAGTTTCTATGTGATATCCATTTCTGCGGATATCTTTGAAACTTAACAAATTTCTGTAAGATCCAGGGGAATATAACGCATCATTTATTTCAAACTTTGTTCCCCTTGGCATTGAAAAACTGACTCTTCCGGAGCCCATAATAATTTTTGCATTACCAGATATTGTATTCACGCTTCCAGCGGAATCTTTCATATTAAGAGAGGAGAAATACTTTTTATCTTTTAATATTGTGTGCGTTGTCGCACTGTCTGCCAGACATATATCTCCATCCTCGATCTTAATCTTTGACATTTTCTGAATTCAAGATATTCATACAAGATAAATTAATATAGCAAAACAAAAGAGCTTATATTATAATAAAAACCTTTTTATAACAAAAGATACATTTTTAAACATTATATTTTATATTTTTATTTTTCACACTATGTATACATCATGTCACATCTTCTTCTTCGAGAAGATTTTACTCGTTTTGTTTTTCATTGATATCTTCGGGATCAACGATGAAATTAGTTATATCAAGATTTGTATCATCGTTTATACCATCAAAAGAAAAACTAGATTCACCATGGATGAAGTTGGTTTCACTTTCTTTTCCTTTCGCCTTTTCCGATTCTCGGTACAGATCGGCTAAATGTTTTGGCGTACGACAGGTACGAACCCAATGTCCTTTCATGCCGCATCTGTAGCAAGCACTCTCATGTTGCTTGCGACCAACTTCATTACCCTTGAACTTTTTGTTATTTCTTCCATCGTTTAAATCAGCAGGACGGAATCTTCTTCCTCGTCCACGACCTCGACCACGTCCAAAACCTCGTCCACGACCACGATCATTTCCGCGACCGCGTCCACGTCCACTTTGCCAATTTTCATGGCTTGACGATGCAACATTCACTTCTGGGAATGAAGCTGATCCAGTTGGACGAGATTGATGGTTTAAAATCACGAGTTCATTATTTTGTTCTGCCACCAAGAGAACTTGCATTAACTCTGAATACTTCTTGTATCCGTTTGCCCGGTATTGTTGCTGCAGGACTACGTTTCCAGGATGAAATGTTGAGAGAGTTTTCTCAATTATATCATGATCACTTATATTTTCTCCACATAACATTATCCTGGAAGTGATTCCAAATAGAGCGGAGTTATACTCACTAACGCTCTTATAGTCTTGGAACCGGAGGTTCAACCACTCATGTCTAGCCTTTGGTAAGATCACATATTTCTGGTGATCAAACCTATCTTGGAGTGATTGCCAAAGATCTGCAGGATCTTCTTTCGTGATATATTCATCTTTTAAACCATCATGGATATGGTGGAATAAAAAGATCATGGCTTTCGCCTTTTTCTCTTCAGGAACTGTTTTTGTTTTATCGATGGTATCAAGGAGCTCATTTCCTTTTAAATGCATCCTTGCAGCTACTGCCCATCTCATATAATTTCTTCCAGAAATATCAAGGGCAGTAATCTCGAGTTTTGTCAAATTCGACATGATAACTGTTATCAATACAACAATTTATAAATTTGGTCATAATTCAGTTTCAAAAAATTCTGATTTTAATAAAACATGATAAAATTTTAGAATTCATAAACGTAATAAAAACTGAATTTAAAATACTGAATTTAAAGTAATAATAAACAGAAATTAAATAACAGTAATTAACAAAATTTAAAGAACAATAATTAAAATAAATATTCGTCTTCTGGACGAAATTAATTATGCAGTTCTTCAGGAACGCTTTTATATATCTTCTGGATATATATTTTTTATATAGTTCTTCTGGAACTATTCTTTTTCATATGTCTTCTGGACATATTTTTCTTTCAAGTATGTCTTCTGGACATATAGTATGTTATTCTTAGTTCTTCAGGAACTTTTCTTAAATGTCTTCTGGACATTTATTATATGGAGGTAATGATCTGAGGAGTCAACTACCATATGATCATAAACCAACTATATATTTGATCTGAGGAGACATAGTCTATCATATGATCATGATCGTAAAGGCATAGCCTCCATAACGATCGGTTCGGAGAAGGCAGCGCCTATCATCCCGACCATAGAATATAAACATAAAAGTAGATGGATTGAACATAAATTAAACCTCACCTTTTCGATATAGGAACGGTATAAGAACGGCTCGTGCTGATAACGTTTTATGTATTATATAAAATAAGTGAGTATATGTATGTTTATATGTATATATATATATATATATATATATTATTTAATTTGGAAGAGAAGGAAGTGAGAAAGGGACGAGAGGTAAGTGGGAGAGAGAAGATTGATGAAGAGTGTTTCTTATTTCACTCGTCTGAAAGTTTATTTCTTTACATAACATAAAGGTCTATTTATAGACCAAGAGAAAACATATAATAATAAAAGTAAGTTGGTAAGAGTAAATATCTAAAAATATAAGACGGTGAAAAAGTGATGAGGATAATTATCCTTTTTAACATTTTCAACCAATTTTCAAAGAAAAACTAAAAGAACAAACCAAACTAGTGGGTCTCTTCCTCAAAACCTCTTTTATCCCCGATACTATTTTTCTGTTCTTGTAAATAATAATACTATTCAACCTCAACTATAGTTCACTTCCTATGGTAACAATCTAAATCGGTTTTCACCAAAAAAAATAATGTAGTGGGAATATTCTCCCAATCTAGTTGTAGTAAATTCTTCATTAACGAGATCGTTTGTTTACTTTACCCTATGATGGGTCTTTATATTCCCTCTATGGGACGTTTTTGTACCCTGTGATCGGTTATCTCCGAACTAATATAATACTTTGGCTCACCAAAAAAATACCATTCATCAACATTTACCTAAATATCATTATTTCTATTGAATATCATTAAATAATTTTTTTTTTGAATAGAATGTTAAATTATATTGGAGAAAAAAAAAGACTGTCTTACTTACAAATTTTTTAAAATTTCATACTTTCTAAAAAGAAAATCAAATCAGTTTGAAAGAAAAAGCCTTATACTAATCTCCTCTTATGGCAAACCACACATGCAGCCCATCCTCGTGTCTATTTGTTCTTGTTCCCATTGTCTTTGCTGTGCTTATAAGTAACGAGATAACCCAATCCATTAATCAAGGCGGGAAGACATAAGTAGGTGTGTTAACTGTTAACCGAGTCGTTAAGGGACCCTGAGACGTGAGCCTCACGCGTAACACCCAAGCTAGTTCGATCAAGTTGTCTAGCTAACATTATCATAAGTAGATTACGCAGATAAAAAAGATATATATATGTAGGTTGATAACTCGCAATATTAATGATTTGTATAATTAGCTTTAAAATTAAAATCTCCCTTTCGTTATCCAAAAGATACATTTTGTAATTTACAATTATCGAAATCTTTGAAGACTAAAGAGGAACTAAAAATCTATATTCAAAACTAAATATTGATATTCATAGCCTAAGGTAATTTTATTTTTATTTTTCACAGAAGAGGAAGGTTGGGTAAATTGTCGTTGAGTTGTTGTACTATAAGGATAACACGATGTATTGAGACGCTATAAAGGAGAAAAACATTTACCAATTTTGTTTGCGATAAAATTCACCAACTTTCCTCCCTTCGTACATTCATATCTAACCCACATGTGGTATTCTAAAGAAAATGCCAAAACAACTGAAAAGCAACATGTGTTTAAGTTTATATAAAATTTGTGTATAAATGGGACGCTCCAACACTTACTTTCACAGCACGGAAGAAAAAAAAGCAACTTGGTCTCTTTGAATCACGAGAAACTCCAAGGGTAATTTTCTTATGAGTTTCGAATGTTTCTTTTTATTGTTTTATTATTGTTATAATTAACAAAATGTATTTCGATTTGCACAGCAAAGGAAAGAAGAATGGGCTCAAACACTCCACAGCTTCCAGTCATCTATCTCTCGGACCAAACCCTAAAACCAGAAAGCTCAAAGTGGGTTGAAGTTAGGAGTGACGTACGTAAAGCTCTGGAAGAGTACGGCGCTTTCGAGGTGTCATATGATAGAGTGTCAGAGGAGCTTAAGAAGTCGGTTTTGGAAGCCATGCAAGAGCTTTTCGAGTTACCAGTTGAGGCTAAACAGAGAAACGTGTCTCCCAAACCCTACATGGGATATTCCACTCATAATGGTCTCTCCGAGAGTTTAGGGATCCAAGATCCTCATGTTTTGGAGAAAGTTAAAGAATTCACTCAACTGCTACGTCCTGATTGTGAGGGTAACAAGAATACTAGGTAAATGTTATGTGCACGTACCCAAAAATGTTCGTAATTTCTTTTTAAATACATTAGTGTTTCTACCAACATTGATTTAATATGTTTCTTTGTGCTGAAAACAGCGAAACGATCCAGAAGTTTTCAGAGAGGTTAGCAGATTTGGATGTAATGGTGAGAAGAATGGTGATGGAAAGCTTCGGGGTAGAGAAGTACCTTGATGAACACCTGAGAGAGACGAATTACCGTCTGCGACTGATGAAGTATATAGCACCACCTGATGTTGCTCCAGGTGCTGATGATGTTCAAGATAGTGCTATTATGAGTACTAATGCTAATGTTGACGCGGCTAAAGATTCTGCTGGTGATCATGATGCCGATGTTGGTGCTGGTGATAGTGCTAATAATGTTGGTGATATTGCTAATGGTATTGCTAATGTTCATATTGATAATGGTGTTAATGCTGGTGCTAATGCCAATGTTGATGCCGAAGTTGGTGGTCATGATCATGTTAGTGCTACTAATGGTACTCTTACTAGTACTAATGTTGGTGTTGACGATAGTGTCAAAGCTAATGGTGGTGCTGATATTGAGGAGAAGAAATTGGGTCTACCTACTCATACTGATAAGAACCTTTTTACGGTGCTTTATCAATATGAGGTTGAAGGTTTGGAGCTATTAACCAAAGATGAAAAGTGGATCAGATTGAAGCCATCGCATAATTCTTTCGTTGTTATGGCTGGAGATACTCTATATGTAAGTTCCAACTTCTCTCTCTTTTTCTTTTCTTTATATATATATTCTTTAAAGTTTACACGCACACATACGTATAATATTAAAGTCTAGGTCTAGCTCAACCTTGTGGTCATGCCGAGTTGCCAACGGTCCCAAATTCCAAATTAAAATAGGGCGTAAAGTTTTGTATATAGTCTTTATAAACATTTGGTAGATCTTGATCTTCTTTATATTAGGAGTTTAATATAACCTTTTTGATGTTACTCGCTTTCTAAACATTGTACGATCTTTCCAAAAGTTTAAAGGTTTTGATATGGGTTGTGCATGCATGATTACATAGTACTTATCTACTAAAACATAAACTGAAAGTATAGAGAAAGTGTTAGAATAATCAAAAGTAAATCGACTTTTAATAGTAATAGAGAAAGAGAAAGAAAACTAAAATTAAACGAAAAGCTAAAAACGAATGAAAGGTAACAAAACTAGTGGAGAGGAAAAAAAAAAAAGATGATTGTGATTCACGATCACTCTCACTAGGGGGGGGCCTTGGGGACCAACCAAATCCTAGTCTTGCTCTTGTTTCCTCTTACCATATGGGACCAACCAAATCCTATCAACTAACATTTTATGATTTTATTTGCTCTTATCACTTTCACAAAGTGCATGTCATCAATTACAGCGTTATATTCATCATGTTTTGTTTTCTTCTGATGATCATGATCTTTTTTTGTCAAAAGGATATTTCTGATCATGATCTTGCTCTTACAAACAAACCAAGAAAGTTAAATTGTTTTTTTTTTTTTTTGGTTTGCAGGCACTTACGAATGGTAGACTAGCTCGTCCGTATCATCGAGTAAGAGTAACGGAAAAAAAGAAGACAAGATATTCAATAGCATTGTTCTCGGCTCCAAACGGAAACAGCATCATTGAACCACCAAAAGAACTTGTGGACGAGAAGTATCCACGTGTCTTCAAACCATTTACTTATGTCGACTTGATGAGTTTCTATCACACTGAAGCTGGTCGTAGAGCTCAATCTACTCTTCATGCTTATTGTGCCGTCTCTGGAGCATAAAATGTGGCTTCATAAATTACGAGTTTCAAAAATATCGGGTGGTTTCAAGATTCGACTGATTATAAAAAAACCATGTAGTACTAAATAAGGGGTTTTTTTGTATTAGTTGATGAGTTCTGTTTTGTGTGATAAGTATAATTGATATGTGTTCTCTATATACTGTCTACTGTATGAAAATCAATAAACTTTTTGTTTGTTTAAAGATGAAAATGAATAAACCATACGTGCATGAACATCTACAAATCTACTATATAATCATAATCTAATGAATAATTGCGTTTGTTGATCGACGTTGACGGCACCAACATCTATTGTCAGGTTCCTTTAATTTCTTGTAGATTTATGTAATGCACATTTTTTTATTATAACGACTTGAATATAATCGAGAGGTAGACCCGCTTACCATTGGATTTGTTTGGTTGCAAAATGCCAAAATCGAATTGAATAGACTATATATGATCAGTGAGTTGTTGTTTTTTTTCTCCTAATTAACAAGAGCTAAAAGTTGAAGGATATAACTTATTTAAAAATATATAAATTATATAAAAAAATATCTTCTCGAATATTTGATATTTTGAATAATTCAAATGTCACACCAGAAGTCTTTCTCTCAGCTGAGAAATCATAATTATTCTCACCTTTCTATCCTCTTGGTATATTACATTGATATGTTTATTACGAGAGAAGAAGAGAAGTTTAGTGGGCTTTAACTATAACATAACAGAAAAGCTCAGCTTAGGCCCAATAATACCAATCTTGCGTCATCTCACCTTTAACCAGATTTTGACCCATGGTTGCTTGCAGACATCTAAATCCAACGTTTAAATATCATCTGAAGTAATCACCCTTTTTATTGCTGCCTTAACCAATCACAAATGTCCACATGGCTAACCCGAGAAAATGAGATTTTTAAATTTCATCATTTTTGTTTTTTTTTTTTTTGTGTTTTGCTCAGCCGAGGAATCAGAATCAGAATCAGTCAAATCATTTCTATTTTCGCGATGATGATTCCGTTTCAGTGATCGATCATCTCAGTGATAAAATCCCGCCGGAGTTTCTTCCCGCCGGGTTAAACCATGCCTTTGCCTATATTCTCTTCGCGGTTACAGTCTTCTTCTTCGTCTTCATCGTCATCGTCGCGATCTTATTTTCCTCGGCCTTATAAGCCTCGAGTCGACCCTAGCTTGACCTTAATCCCAGGCTTATCCAACGACGTCGCGAGGCTGATTTTCTCCTTCGTCCCTTACCCTCACATCTCTCGCCTCAAATCGACCTGCAAATCATGGTACGCTTTCCTCTCCTCCAAAACCCTAATTTCACTCCGCCATAGACGAGACGGAATCGAAAACCGCCTCTCCCATCTCCTCTGCATCTTCCCTCAAGATCCTTCGATTTCGCCTCCGTTTCTATTCGATCCCGTGACTCTATCATGGAGATCGCTCCCGCTCATGCCCTGTAACCCTCACGTTTACGGTCTCTGCAATTTCGTCGCCGTGTCTCTCGGACCAAATCTCTATGTCCTCGGAGGATCCGCCTTCGACACGAGGTCTTATCCTCTGGACCGTCCTTTGCCTACTTCCTCCGTGTTCCGTTACAGTTTCGTGAAATCGGCGTGGGAGCGGCTCGCTCCGATGCTGTCTCCACGTGGCAGCTTCGCTTGCGCTGCGATGCCTGGTTCTTCGTCGGATCGGATTATCGTGGCGGGAGGAGGATCACGGCACACTTTGTTTGGTGCTGCTGGAAGTAGAATGAGTTCGGTGGAGATTTATGATGTTGAGAAAGATGAGTGGAGAGAGATGGACGAATTGCCTAGGTTTAGAGCAGGTTGTGTTGGTTTCATCGTTGCAAATGAGAAAGATAAGGAGAAGGAGGAGGAAAGTAGAGATTTTTGGGTAATTGGTGGCTATGGAGGATCAAGGACGGTTTCTGGTATTCTTCCTGTTGATGAGTACTATAAAGATGCGGCAGTGATGGAGCTGAGGAGGAATGGTGGTGAGAAATGGAGATTGGTTGGTGATATGTGGGGAGAACAAGAGAGACCAAAGCTAGGGAAGATTGTGGCTGTTGATTGTGGAAAGCCGACGTTTTTCATGTTGGATAAGGATTGGATTCTTAGGTATGAGGTGAGTTTGAATCGTTGGGTAAAGGAGTCAAGCTTGCCTAAGAAAGCTCGTTACGACAAACCAGTTGGTTTTGTTGCGATGAATGGTGAATTACACGTTATGATTCTCTTGGATGGGTATAATCTGATGGACACAAGGCATACTAGACAACATAGCAATGCTGGATCTTTGATGATTCATGTGTATGATCCTAGAAAGAAAACTTGGAGATCGATTGTTTCAAAGCCACCGTTCAATCACCAACTCGATTTCAGGACCACGGTTATGTGCACCATCCGATTGTAGTAGGCGTAAACTCTCATCACATCATCTTGAAGAAAATTTGTTGTTCATGGTGTGAGCTCTGATTCTGAATGTTGTGTCGTTTCTTTAGCCATTTGCATATATATAATAGCCACATTGTCTGTACAGGTTGAAAAAAAAGAACTTTGGGTATTATGTTATATTGTAAATACAAGGGAATTATACTATGGCTTTGTATATAAATGCTCTCGCAGGTCGATGCAAACAAAACAATACATGTAGGTTTTGGTCACTGTTTCCACTTCACTTATTGTCTCACAGAAAATTGCTTACTACATTCTCTGTGGAAGATGATTGTATAAATGCAGTAGGTAAACAACTCAGTTTCCACTCTCATTCCAAGTTAATTTCTTCATTTACTATCCAAACCGAGACTTTGTGAATCTCTTTCTGACTGTCAATCATAACAATTGATTCTGTAATAAAGCTTTTGTGATAAAAGAGAAGACAGACAGTTACCATAAGCAGGAGTGGTCATGGAACAAGACAAGACAGTCTCTTACCATTATATGATTGTAGCATGATGTGTTGGTTTGTGCTAACGAACCAGACATTAAGCCTATAAGTTGCATTTGTCTCATTGTAGCTTTACATTCTGAATCTGATGCAATCTCGTTTCCCAGAGTTGTCTTGGTTATATAACCGTTATACAAAACTTGTTTTCCTTATGGACATCAATTGGGTATACATATCTGTGAATACTCTAAAAGAGTAATATACACTGACTATATTTGTATTTAGTAAGTTATAATGCAAATGTTGCATGACACTTGATTTTCCTATTTTGTGTAGACAGTAAATGAGCTGTGAATCAAACAAAAGATAAAATTGAAAAATACAGTAGTATAGTAAAGTTTGATAGCAATGATTTCGAGTGACCACACTTCTCTATGTACAAAGTCAAACGTGGCAACACAGCTTTGAACGCTTCATCGACACACACGTCGACGAAAAACCATATCCGCTCATAAAATTTATTGAGAAAGCAAAAAAAAGAATCCAGAAAGTCGAAGGGAGAAAAGAGCCTCTGCGTACTGTTACGAATTGTCTCCTTCGTACGGGTAATCATCTAAAAATTTGAGCTTTTTTATTTTCGCGATCTGATTAAGATCACAACTCTCCTAAAGTTCTCATCTTGGAGTGATGTTGTTTCTGGGTTCTTTCGATGTCTCTGGTGATTTCATCTTTTGTGCTTTTTTAATTCGATGCTGCAACAATTAGGGTTTGATGCTGTTTCTGTGCATTCTTTAGTGACGAGTGACGACCTTGATTTTTTGAAATCAGGGTTTTGTTTCCTCCAATTTCTCTTCTTTTATTTTTCTTTCTTCCCCCCGTATGTTGATGATTGATGAAGTTGTAGTATAGTAATCTTCGATTGTGTACTTTGATTCGGTTTTTGATGATTGGGTTAGAAATGGCAGTAAGGTTTTAGTAGTTTCGCCTCTGTGAGTGAATGTGTTTATTGATGAAAAATTGATCATTTTACTGGCTTTCGCAGGCAAAGGCATGGTCCATGGTCCAGGAGAAGTGTGAATGAAACTGTGGTACAAGCGAATGTCGATGGTGGTTATCTGCTATAATGTTTTTTGGACCAAGTGAGTTTGATGCTGAAGAAATGGGTTATGCAATGAGTAGACTTGAGATAGAATCCGATCTATGCGATGCTGGTAAAGATTTTTGCGGAGTTGGTACTAGTAGTGGTAGTCACAGATAAAGCGAGCATATGGCAGATTTAGATCATGAAATCAGCCAGGTCACTAGGCTGAAATCTAGTCCTCATCAACGGTTAAGCCGTGAAGTCCCTGGGAGACATCAGTTACCCGTGTCCACTGTGAGGATGTTGGCTGGTCGAGAAAGTAATTTCTCTGGAAGAGGGAGGTTTTCCGCCGCTGATTGTTGTCATATGCTAAGCAGATATTTGCCTGTGAAGGGTCCTTGGCTTGTAGATCAGATGAATAGCCGAGCATATGTATCTCAGTTTTCAACTGATGGCTCTCTCTTTATTGCGGGGTTTCAGGTAAATTCTTCATCCTGGTAATTAGGAAAACAGATAATACGTCTCTACTCTCTTGGCTTGTGTTATCTAGATGTCTTGAAACTTTCTGTTTCCTGAGTTGTGAAGCATTTTCTGGATTAACCAATCTGCATACTTTGTATTCTTGATTAAATCATTCTTTTCAGGGAAGCCATATTCGGATTTATAATGTAGAGAAGGGCTGGAAAGTTCAAAAGGATATTCTTGCGAAAAGCTTGCGTTGGACTGTTACCGATACTTCTCTGTCCCCTGATCAGCGAAATCTGGTAAGTTTTTGGTTTCTTCAACTAATTGTTCTTTTCATTGTGAAAACAATTTCCCACATCATTTTGAAAATGCAATTTTTTCACCTCATTGCCATATCTTTTATAGTGATGCATAGTAAGTAGTTTTGTTTAGTCTTTATGATTTTCTTATTATATCAAAACTTTATGCTTATCTTCCAAAGAAAGGAATAATGAATCCTTTTGAGATTTGCAGGTTTATGCAAGCATGTCACCTATTGTTCACATCGTGGATGTTGGGTCTGGTACAACCGAGTCTCATGCAAATGTTACGGTACAGACCCACTATTTTTGTTAGTTAAAGCAGAATACTAGAATGTGATGGGAATCATGGGATCTATTTTCATTTTTTTTATGATCATTTTGTGCAACTTCTTAATGGTGCTTAATTAATTTGAGGTGCTTATCTTTTGCAGGAGATCCATGATGGATTAGACTTCTCTTCTGGAGGGTACTCTTTTGGAATATTCTCTGTGAAATTTTCAACCGATGGACGAGAACTTGTTGCTGGGAGTAGTGATGATTCCATTTATGTTTATGATCTTGAAGCAAATCGAGTTTCACTCCGGACTGTTGCACACACGGTAAAATCATTTCTTGTTTGGTTCATGCTTTTTATTCACAGAACAATGATTTTTAACGATAAGATTTCATACAAACTGGAAATGATGAGTCAATTCATGTTCTCCATTGCTGCAGTCTGATGTAAATACTGTGTGCTTTGCCGATGAAATTGGAAACCTGATTTTATCTGGTGGTGATGATAATCTCTGCAAGGTAAAATTTTCCGCATAAAGTACAATATATATTTTTTTTCTTAAGCAAAGCTGTAACAGGAACTTGTTTAAATTCATTACACGAATAGGTGTGGGACAGACGTTGTTTCATTGGGAGAGATAAGCCAGCGGGTGTTTTGGTGGGACACCTCGAAGGTGTTACCTTTATTGATAGCCGTGGAGATGGTCGCTATTTCATATCAAATGGCAAAGACCAAACCATCAAATTGTGGGATATCAGAAAAATGTCCTCAAGCGTTCCTCCAAAGTAACAATCTTCTATCTTAAACTTTCTTTGGCGTGTTACCGTTATTGATTGCATCTTGTTTGTTGGTGCATCACAATGTTTCGTCGATGAAATGAAACTGAATTGTTCTGAATATTTCTTACAGGCATGAGGTGAACAGAAACTATGAATGGGATTACAGATGGATGAATTACCCTCCCGAGTCAAGAGATCTAAAGCACCCTTACGATCAGTCTGTGTCGACATATAAAGGTCACTCAGTGCTGCGTACTCTGATTCGTTGCTACTTCTCTCCAGCGCATAGGTCAGTCTTCTGAAGTTCCTTAATGTTCCAAGATTGATGATGAAGAGCCTTCCTTTCATATTTCTCTAATTCTTGTGTTGGATTCTTTCCTTCTTTCTTATCACAGTACTGGCCAAAAGTACATATACACAGGATCCAACGACACTTCCGTCTACATATATGACTTGGTAATGGCTTTATCCCTCTCAGAATTGCATTAAAGAGACAAATCACATGAAAATGTAGCACTTTGTGGTTTGTTTCATATTAGTTGGTGTGTGGTTTGATAGCTGAATCTTCCATTGTTCTTTTTGACCAATCTTTGAATCATAATCTGTTCTTAGGTTAGTGGAGATAAAGTGGCAGTGCTAAAGCACCATAGCGCACCTGTAAGAGACTGTAATTGGCATCCGCATTACCCAACGCTTATAAGCTCTTCGTGGGACGGAGATCTCGTGAAATGGGAGTTTTCTGGGAGCGGTGAGGCGCCGATCATGAGCGAGAAGAGGGTTCGAAGGAGACATTTCTACTACTGAGCATCTCTCTCTCTACACATACCTATATGAACTCTGTAAGTTAATATATAAAATGTAGAGAAGAAGGAAAATTAGAATCATCTAATAAGGCTTTAAGGTAAAAAGGCTATGTTGTATGATATTGTGATTAAAAAAAAAAACATTTCCCTTCCCAACCATTTTTAAAGGTCACATACATATATGCTAATGATATGCAATGTAGTAATAATAGATATGGTTGTCAATGGTTTGAATTCAGATATTACTTTAAAGAGTGAAATAAATTGTTATGTTTGGATTCATTCTGTTTTTTGTTTAGAGAAATATCATAAAATGTCTTCATGACTTGATGTACTCATTGTTCATATTTACTATTCTATCATAGCCATTGTAAACCCTTCAAGTATTATATTTTGTGTTACAAAACTCCCAACAAAAGTAATTTGGGTTTACATCAAAACTCTAAAACAGAATAAACATGATTATCTTCTCTATTAATGAATTCAATTAAACGACAAAAAAAGAAACAATTTGTAACAACGAGATAGCTAATAGATTGGCCTTGCTCGTTTTATTCAAAGCCATATAATAAAAGATACAAAACATACATCGTCATTATGATTCCCTCCCATTCACAAAGTCACCAACGAATAAACGAATAGTTTTTTTTTTCTTCCCTCGAAACTCGAAAGTTAATAAGTTATAACAAAATAACCGGAGAATTTGACGCGAAAGACCATCGCTGCCTGAAATTACGCCTCTACCCTCGCCACTCGTTGCATTGCATTGTGGGTCTGGTTTTCTGCGAACCGGCCTTAACCGGACAGGGAGTCTCTACCGGCAGCACCATACAATTGTAATGCAGACACAGCGAGCTGCTCACCGGAATATCCGCCGCCGGGCTAATTTGTATTCCCGTCAAGAAATTATGTTGAAGGTACAGTGTTTGTATATCTGATGCTAATAACCGATCCACGAAGCTAACCGGTACTTGACCGGTGAACCGGTTATTGTTTAGATAGAGATTCTGTACGTTGGAGAGGAGTGGAGAAATCTCGCCGGAGAATCGGTTGTAGCTCAGATCGACGGTTGGTATCGTGACCTCATTCGCCGGTTGAACTGCGCCGTAGAAGAAATTGCGCTGCAACTGGAGACTCGTGATCGGGAAAGCAAATATCTGACCGGGAATTGCACCGGTGAACCGGTTTAGACTGAGATCGAGGTAGCTGAGCTGGTTTAGCCTGAGTAAAATCCGGTTTACTGGTCCGGTTAGCTTGTTCCAGGAGAGTGAGAGGTATTGTAGCGACGGAGGGAGAGACGTCGGAGAAATTGCACCGGTTAGGTTGTTGCGTCTGAGATCGATTCGGGTTAAGGTTTGGGAAAAGAATTGAGGAAGTGATCCGTTCAAGTGATTGTGACAGAGAATCAAGTTGGAGAGCTCCGGTAAGGATCCGATTGAGGGAGGAATCGACCCGGTTAACTGGTTATAGCTCAGATCGAGTGTTTTAAGGCCACGAAGCTCGCCAAGACTCGCCGGAATCTCGCCGGAGAGGAAATTTCGGCTGATTGCGAGAAATCGGAGATTCTTCGAGTGCGAGATTGTGTTGGGTAACGAACCCATGATCCGACCCGGGACGATTGAGAGCTCAGTGAGAGCAGAGAGTTTTCCGATCGCCGGGTTGATCCGACCCGATAAACCGGGTGAACCGGCTCTGGGATCGCCGAGGTTAAGAGTAATAACTTTATCTCCGTCGCAGTATACTCCGGCGAAGCTGCAAGGATCGGCGGTGAAATCCCAGGAATCGAAGAAATTGGAACCTGGTGAATCATCGAGCGATTTACGAATCGCTTGCAGAGCCAAGAAATCAACTGGGTCGATAATCGCGTCTACAAATAACCTGAATCGAAGAAGAAGCAGCAAAACCCAAATCAAAGTAGCAGACTTCATTTTCTTCAAATTAGTCAGAGCAGTTAGAATTTTTAAAGTAAAAACAGAGACTTTTTATACACACAAACCCGACAAGCTTTGAAGTTGAGAAATGGGTCAAGGGAATAAGTCTGAAAGAGATGATGGTGTGTTCGTAAATTGGAGGGTTCTTGTAGGAGCTTCAGTGAGAGTTTTAATGGCGGATTTTGACTCTAGCGACGCCAAATGATTAAAAAGGAGGGAAGTTAAGGGAAGAAGGAAAAAAAAAGTTTTCTTCAAAGATAAGTGAGAAAGAGAGACAAAAAAGGTAATCAAAATGGCTTGAGAAGGAAGCGAGATGAAGAGCTGGATAAACTTTCTTCTTCTTCTTCCTTTTCTTGCTTTTCCTCTGTTTTAGTGACTTTGTGAAGGAGAGGTAATAAATGCTACACTTGAATAAGATTTTACATATGTGATTCGTCTGTGTCAGTAAAAGATAAAAATAATGTATTTTTATGTCGGGAATATGTAACAGGGAAAACGGCTGTCCGAGCCTTAGGTTCGGATTGACAGATCAGCAGCTTCGAGAGAAAGAAGAATCGAGGTGGTTGGTGGTGGGGTCATAATCATGTGACACGTATGCGCGATGTCCGTGACACGTCAGCTACTTGTGTTATTTTTCTTTTTGTCCGCAAGCTAATTACTTAACCGTAATATACTAAAAAACTAAAATTATGGGAAGTGCTTTTCATAACCGATGAACGATAATATTCATAGGCTCATAGCACAGAGTTTAGTGTTTTGGTATTCATAAAAAGTTGGGGTTTTATGTGTTGTCTAGTAGCATATATAGGAATAAAAAAATTATTTTTTATCCTTTGATTTGTTAAATGTTAGGTAGCAAAATTTTGGGTTTGTTTAAATATCATATGATACTACATTACTACATCGAATTAGGTTATGAGTGGATCTCTACTTGTGTAAGGAAGCCAGCAGAGAAAATTCCAAGTGATCAAAGCCAAAGAATAAAATGTTCTTAGTCTCCAAAATTATGGTCCCACCAAAAGAGAATTTATTTGCACACCTGTTTTGTTGTGTGTTTATATCTTCTCAGTCGTCATGATCACATTGCACCGATGTGCTCACCAAATTTCATGAAAAAAAAACAAAAACAAAAACAAAAAGTAAGAGATCTTTGATGATGATGTTGATGTTAATGATGATGACGATGGTTGATAGAGAGCTAATGAGATGAATGTTAGTGATGCTCTTTGACTAGTCATTTTCACTCCATCTAGTGTTTTTTTCATTATGCTTCAACACTTTCACATAACTAGAAAAAATACGGGATTCTACTGATTACCTTTACATGATGAAAAATCCGGTCAACTAATTTATATATAGCAGTTATTATGATCACAACAATATATTTTCAAAATGATTAATTATTGAGTTGGGATAGTCTAGCGAATTTTCAACTAAAACAGTTTTTCTAACTGCATGTGCAAGTGTGATATTACTCTTATGTTTAAAAACGTATATTTCATCATGGTCGGACAATTACATTCAATGGTTTAGTATATATCCATTATCAATTGTCAACAATCATGACCTAGAAACTAAGATAATTGCTCATCATATATTCATATGCCTTGGAGACTAGTGAACCATGCATTATATTTCAACCATTTGCGTATTTTGATAATGAGAATTTATTAATTAAAAGGTTGATTCATCCACACGTAGTGATGATAAAAAGCGTCATGTATGTGGTTGTGTTACTCATAATCTCTATAATGATTATACCAAAAAAAAAAGGTTTTGCTTCCCCAACGCCGGAAGCAACAGAGGATCTTCTACCTCTCGCTCATGCTCTGTTTTTTGGTTACCTAAACTTCTAGCTTTGCTTTTTCTCAAAAATTTCAGCTTCTTTGTGCTCTCTATTTTTAATGCTTTCCCTGCTTGGCCCATTAGCCAAGTTGTAGATATTTTTAATTCTGTGAAGTAATAAATTTTATATTTTAACCAAAAAAAAAACGGCTAAAGCCTCTAAACACATAAGAGTACTATCAAACTCTAAATTTACGTATCGAAGTCATATCTGAAAGCAACAATGGCCATATAGAGTTTGATATGGCCAAGACTAGGAGTGACCAGCTAAAATGCAAGTCTAATAGTAAAATTAGAAGTTAACCGACGTGAAACAGACAATCCAATCATTTAAAATGAAACATCTGTTTTTAAATGAAACAATATACATAATGAGCAGTTTTTACAAGATGTTTCATTTTAAATGTATACAAAAATAAACTTCAACATCTCTTAAAATGAAACAATATGCAGTAGGAGCAGTTTTTACAAACAAGTCTACGAACCAAACTAAAAGACTATATAAGCAAAAATAAGAAGGTAAGTCAGACTTAACAATAGGGATGAAGCAAATCAATTTACAACTGACATAATGCAATCAGACTAACAAAAAAAGAAAAGTCAAGTCTTACAGAAGTAAAATTAAGCGATTTTCATAGAACACGCCTGTAAAGGTTTTCAAAGAACTTCAGAGAGTAATATTCTTCCTTGTTTCTGAGTTGAGTTCGAATTAATAATCATTTATCAACGATGTTGATAGAAATGGAGATAAAATAAAGTCAATGGAGCTTCTTCCATTTATTATTGAGGGGAATATAAATGGGCAAATGTAAAGTTACTCTTTACAAGATGTGTATATTTTAGCTGCCATTGATGTAATAAGAGCAGTTCAAAGAGAAAGAAAAACAAAGCAAAACCTTCATTGCCACAATGATTTGAAATCCGAGCGGAGAAAAAGCTTTACCCGCGAGCAAAACGAGCCTGAATCCTCCTCTGGATTTTGGCTCGACAAGACGGACAATCTTCCATGGCTTCCTTCTCGTGAAGCTGGTTGCATTTAGAGCAAAGAACCTGATGGGCACAAGGCAAGAAAATCACACTCATCTCTTCAGACAAACACATGACACATTCTCTCTCCCTTTTGATTTTCGTCTCTGTCCCGAATTTATTCTCCCACGCGTTTGCTGCTGCCATCTGGTTTGCCTTTGTGGTGGTGGTATCAGTCATGCCGCTCTTGTTACCATCATTGCTTCCATCAATGCCTTTCTTCAACGCAGCTATCTTCAAGCAGTCTGATTTGAGTTTCAGCTTTGAGATTTCACTCTCGAGTCTTTTGATGTTCTCCATGTAGTATTTCACGTCATTCTCTGCTTTTGTTTTGATCCGCTCTTCCTCTGCTTTTCCGAGTTCTTCCAGTTTCACTCTCTCTTTCTTTAACGCAGCCGCTTGAGCAGCTAGTTTCCCCTTCGCTTCCTTTTCTTGTTTCCAAGTAGCCTGCAACTTAGTTACATTAGTTATTAATTATAACTTCTGCACTTAAAACCAAAGTCTTTCTCATACCGACTGCATTGTCAATCAGAGACATCATTTCTAATCAACAACTATTGTACTAAAAGAACACGGTACAATGTGTATAGAATAACTCTCGATGTAAACATATTTTTTCCCTCCAGTTTCTCTAACTCCATTGATAATACCATGAATATGAATGTATTGGGCAAAAGAATGAAATGGTTACCTGAAAAAACGAATTGTAGAGGAAAGGATATGTTACAGTAATCATACAATATAATACAGCTCCGAAGACGACAAGACCTAAAACGTGCAAAGGCTTTTTGTCTACAAAAGGAGCTAACCTCAATTCGGTTTTGGCGATTTTTGGCCTTGGCAACTTCTTGCTGTAGCTCTGCCACCTTGTCCCTTTGTCTCTTTAGCTCTTCCTGCAACAAAACCTTTTGCCCTTCCCAGGACTGAGTATTCTTCAACAATCTTTGCACTCTCTCCTTTGCTTCGATACAGCTCTCAGCGGACTCGGCAGCCCATATATTAGCAGCTTCCCTCTCTTTCTTTAGCAGAGATTGCTCCAGCTCGAGCCTGCGAGCTAAGTTATTCGTCTGTTCGAGCTCTTTGGTCTTATTATTCAAGGTAAGCTCCAAATCAGAACGCCTTTTCATACTGCTCTCTTCCAATAACTGCTTCTCTTTTCTGAACTCTTCTGCCTCTTCTTTCTCTTTCCGTAGTGCCTTAAGTTCTGGTTGGTCCTTTAGTAGTCTACTAGTTGCCTGCTTTACTTTTTGATTAGCCCAGTCAGTCCAAACCTGCAGTTCCTTATGCAGATCTTTCATCCGAGGAACTAGCTTTAGTATCAATTCATCTCTTTTATTCCGGGGAAGATATATCCCCAGAGATGCATCATACGGGATCGCAGCATAGTAATCAGGTGCAGGCTTTGTAGACACAGAAGCCTTTTCTTCAGACTCAGAACCGGACTTCTTTTCTGAAGCTAATGGTGCTGGAGCATTAATAGCAGGTAAGGCAGTAACATAACCCTTCACATCCACCGCAGGCGAATCTGACTTAGTACTGTTACTAGTTAAGAGAGTGCTGTTACTCTCGGGTAAAGGAACTTTCACAACCTCTGCTGTTATCTTTGATGAAGAGTTTCTTGCCTGCACAGACACCAAATCAGAAGGTGATTTGCCTCTTTTCTCCACAAGGAAACCGCCTACTGACGCAAACTTTGCCGTCTTATAGCCACCGCCTTTGCTATAAGTTCTAATCTTCTCCACACATGATTTCTGCCGGAGCATGGCCATGTCTTTTTTGGTTCGGCCTTTTCGACAAGGTACTAATTTTTCATCAGAAACAGAAGTCAGGTTTGTACTTTTATTGCCTTCACCAGAAGCAGTGGTAACAGAAAATACCTCTTTTCCTGGTGTTGCTCCACTAGCATGAGAATTTTTGGAGTTGGATAAATTCGGGAAGTTCCCAAATTTGACTGGCTCACTCTGATTGCTTTGAGCATTGGACACTGGGGGCTTCTGGTTCTCTGAGTCACTGGATTTTGGAGGATTGCACTCAGCACCTGAAGATATCGATGCTTTATTCGGATTGAAAACTGAAGCGCCCTCTAATCCATCTCCTTCCACCTCAAATGCTTGCAAAACATTCAAGTCACACATCAACAGCCTCCACATTGCTTCGACTATTGAAAGCGATGGCCTAACCTCCCTAACAAGACTTATCTTCTCTACCAACGTATACTCGACAAGCTGTTGTAAATCCTCAAACACATAGTCTCTCAAACCAGAGACTTTTTTACCACTCTTCAAAAAACTCAATGTATCATTGACAATGTTTGACACGAGATCATTTCCTCCACAGTAGAGCCTACTGCCTGAAATAGCTTTGAGAACAACATCTTCTCTGTACCCACACTCCACAATCTGATTCATTGCACTACGGAATAAAGTGAGCAGATTTGATGATAATAGTTGTTCGAGATGACATGCAAACGGATCATCCCATCCAAGGGATTCAGACTCCTCCGCTTTCATCTGCACGATCGAGTCATTTTCACACAAAGGGTTTTGAGATCTCAATGAATGTAACTCATATCGAGGGAATTCAGTCAAGGAAGCAGCATTCTGTTGAGAAGGATCAGCTAACTTTCTCTTGTTCTTTCTTCCTTTCTCTTGAGTTGGTGACACTGACCAAGTTCCCAATTTGCCACCATTGAGATCAGCAATACACTCATTCATTTCTTCTTGATTCTGAACCATCAAGCAATAACTTCCTGAGATTTATGACCAAAAACAAAAAAAACGATTGGTTTATGACAGACTCGATAAACAGCAAAGAAGGTAGAAACATGAATTGGAGAAGCTCTGAGATTATGCAAACGTGCGGATACGATTGAAATTCCAGTAGCAGCTTATAGAAATCACAGATACAATCGGCCAAAAGTCCTAATTAAATCCAGAAGAAATCAAACGTAATTCAGGGAAACACATAAAGATTTATCAATCCCAAGAGGTGATTAGCAGCTCAATTGAAATGCAATTAAAGAACTACATCGAATCGGGATAAAATCAATATCCTGATCGTTTAACCAGAAAAAAAAAAACACGGAGCGTAAACTGACCGGAAACGGCGAACGGTGGAAGCGAAACCGCGGGAAAGAACGATCGAAAGAGAATCGAGGAGAGAGAGGGATCGAAGAATATTGTTGAATTAAGAGTGTTGCAGAGATAGAGAAAGAGAGAGAGGCACTGTGAGAAGAAAGGAAGTGCGTGGCTAAGAAGGAGGAGGAGCCGAACAAAATTGATCGTGAGCTTCTTTCTTTGTGACAAGAGGAGGGTTGGTGCTGGTAAGTCAATATTACTGATTTGCCCCTGAGGGTAGTTTGGTAATTATGGGTAATAACATTACATTCTGGTACATTTGTTCTGCTATCAACTTGAACAAAGAATTCGTTACAAGTACAACGACAGAGAATCTGTTCGAATTCAAAGCAATCATCTTTCCAAAACTTTTACTTCGATTCATTTGCCTGCATTGTTAGCATTTGGACCATTTTGTGCATTGCTTCGATTTCTACGGTTACGCAAACTCCTCGTCCTCATCATCTTCTTCTTCCTCGTACTCGGAATCAGATTCCTCCTCTCTTTCAGGTTGCATCAACGTACTCATGTCAAAAGAAGATGGATCAGATTCTACCTCTTCAATATCTATCGTGTCGTAGCTCATTCTCTGTTCGAATTTCTCGTCGGAGCAGTTAAGCATCCAAGCCAACGAGCATTTGATTCCCTTCTTGGATATCTTCTTCTGCCTCGGCTTAACCGTGGACTCGAGCCCATAGGTAAAGAACGCGGGAAAATCCACAAGATCTTGAAGAGGTCTTCTCATTTCCTTTTGGAAGTATTCAAAGCTGAGCTTCATTATTCCGAGGTTCAAAGCTAGAACCTGAGGACACCCGATCACCATTTCCCTCGTTTGATCGATAGAAAATCCCCACTCCTTGAGGAAAGCAATGTGCTTTAGCATAGGTGACTCACTGAGGCTAACAAACTGCGGCATTCTCTCGACCAACGAGCCGAGATCCTCTGGATTTAGATCGATGGCTGAACAAAGCAGCTTCCTTTGCGTCTCAAGCTTAGGTTTCAGGTCGATTCCTATGATTTCAGGATACTGTGCAATTATAGAAGGAAGACATGTTTCTCTGACATTGAAATCTTGCAGTGTTTGCACGTTTCGTTTCACCGTTTCATCCAATTCAAACCCGAGAATGTGAGGCCGTTTCTCAATCAACCTAGCTACAGCCAGTTTCGGAATACCAAGACCTTCAAGATACTCCACAAGAGGCTTAATTACTCGAGCTACGCGCATTCCCAAGATCTCCGGGTATCGAGTCAAAATACCTCCAATCTCTCTCCTAGCTACACCTATACCGACCAAATAAGCGACCGATGTGCTCATAGTCCCTTCCAGCTTAAAGCCTAAAACTTCTGGGTACCTCTCAAGCACACGAGGTACATCGCTGGGTTTAATATCAAGTCCTTGGAGATACTTGACCACCGGTGCAAGATCTATAACAACACTAGAGTGAAGAACCTGCGGGTATCTTCTAAGAAACTCGGTGAAGGTCGATTTCTTCACACCTAGTTTCCCGAGATAATCTAGCACAGGGACCATGTTCTTCTTCACGCTACAACCAAGCACAAGAGGGTAATTGTTGATATCTTCGACGGTAAGCCCTAACTTGTGAAGAAAACCTACACGCTCTTTCATCACATCAGCTGTTACAGGGAGTTCAAGCCCATCAAGCTCATCAGGAACAATCCCAATCCCACGCAAGAATTCATAAACCCTAGCTCGATTAGCAGCTTTCTCCTTGTTCATCTCTAACAAACTCGGACGACTATACAAAGACTGAGAATCTCTCCCTTTATCCTTATCCCTTCCCGAAGAAGAACGAGACCTTTCCCTTCTCGGCGAATCAACGGAACGCGAAGTAAATCTCCGATTTGCAATAGCGCATTGGGCTCTTAGACCGATTCCAGGTCTCTTCTTGTGGTTGCACAAGTTGCCATAAGTGGAATCGAAGAGTGACCGTGATTTAACGGAGAAAAAAGATGGTGGCTCAAAGTGAACTAGCAAAAACCCAGGTTTCGTGAAGCCGCTACAGAACCTAATCTTCATTCTTTTCCCCGATTTGTACCTGCAAAATCGGAAGAGCACAAATTGACGATTATTAACGAGAAAATCATATCAATTCGGAGTAACCCAGAAACCTGTTCGGGATAATTACTCAGGAAAATTTCTGGAATACTAAAATTCAAACAATTTCCCCAGAAATCATCATTGATTTTCAGAGGTATGAACAGTAACAATCCGAATAACAGAAGCCTAATTAGAAGCAAACAGCAGAAAGTATGAAACTCAAAGGAAGAAGAAGAAATGGATCATCGTGTGATTGAAATTGACAGTGAAATCTCACCGGCGATGAGGGAAGATAATCGGAGAAGATGAGGGTTTTAGAGGAGCGGGTAAGGTTTTTTTTACAGGAGAATCCTCATCACACTCTCTCTCTCTCTCTTGAAATGTTTTATCCGGTTTATTGACTCTCTGCCCCCATATTTTCTTATATTTCTAAATCACCCCATTACTATCTGAAATATTCCTATAAAACCCATACATTGTTGATTGTGAATTAGTGTTAGAACCTTATTCTATTGGTTTTCTTGAATCAAATTATTGAAAACATTTGAATTAGTCTCCAACGGAACATCGGAGACGAATAATAGTAATATCTGAACATTTTATTAGTATTCGGTTTTATGTAGAAATAGTTAAAGATACGGGGACCTATTTCGAAGTATTTATCATTAATAAGTTCGGAGAGTGCTCTTAAAAAAAAAAATTTTGTTAAACGAAGCATCGAGAAAATGATCCTGCTCTCCGTCAGTTCCTCATCGTCATCTTCGATCGCAGCCGTCTTCTCCGGCGCGCTTATTCTGTTTAACTTCTTTGAAGCTACTCTAGGAGCTCCTTGCCCGATCAATGGTGAGTCTCGCGTTTCTCTTCCCCTACTCTCCATAAGATTGCTTCGATTTACGACCTATTAGAGATTATGCTCTGAAATCGTTTTTCTAGAATCAGATGGACCTAAATGTGTTGAACTTGCGATTGATTAGGATCGAAGAACCCTCATTTCTCGATATACCAAATTTACTTCCAATAACCTGTGGTTTTATTTTTTGGAAGTGTTTCCGAATGCTTTGTAGTGAACTTTGAGTTGCTGATATGGTACAGATTTCGCAGCAACTTCATCGATCTATAGCTTTAGATACATTGAGAAATTCTGATGTTGTTGCTGGTTCTCTGGTGAATCCAGGCTTGCCAATCGTGAGGAATGTAAGTGAACTTCCTCAGGATAACTATGGAAGACCAGGTCTTTCCCACATGACTATTGCTGGGTCCGTATTGCACGGAATGAAAGAGGTAATATTCAAAGAGATATCGGTTTTAAAACTATGCACATTAGTATCCGCTCGTCTCTTATCTGTGGTACATGAATCTTTAACCAAGCACACATGATTCATTTTTTGTTGTTGTTCATTTCTTTCATGGTTGGATTCTTGATGTTGGCGATCTTGCTCACACGTTAAGCACTAGGTAACTCTAACACCGGTTCGTTTCGGTTTTTTTTTTTCAGGTTGAAATATGGATGCAAACATTTGCTCCGGGTTCAGAGACACCCATTCACAGGCATTCTTGTGAAGAGGTTTTTGTTGTCTTAAAGGGAAGTGGTACTCTCTATGTCGCTGAAACACATGGAAATTTCCCCGGAAAACCAATTGAATTTCCAATCTTTGCCAACAGTACACTTCACATTCCAATCAATGATGCTCATCAGGTATGTCTTAGAGTCTTAGACTTTGGAATCCCAAGTTTGTTACGGTTTCCATAGATTGTAAATCAATCCATTTCCGCATGCACAGATGTTATTTTAAGTAACATTGAACAAATAAGAGCAACTGATATCTTTTGCTTGAGATTGCTTGACAGTGTTAGATTTGATGCATGTCCTATGATAGACTTGCAGACAATTATTGAAACACAACACCTACCTTTTTCACATTCATTGTATGTCCATATAAATCAGAGAAAGATTGCTTTTTCTTTTGCCCTCTTTTGCTAACAACTCTTTTTTGGGATATCAAATGAAATTAGCTAACAATGACAATCATCTATTACGGTTCTTACAGGTCAAGAACACCGGTCATGAGGACCTGCAGGTGTTGGTTATTATATCTCGGCCGCCAATTAAAGTGTATGTAACATCTTTTTCCAAGAACTTGCTTTCATATATGTGTCTGTGTCCTTTTACTAATCACACAGAAATTGCTTCTCTTTTTTTTTTTAACAGCTTTACCTACGATGACTGGTTTATGCCACATACAGCTGCGAGGTTGAAGTTCCCTTACTTTTGGGACGAGCAATGCGTCCAAGAATCGCAAAAAGACGAGCTTTGAAGCAAAGTCCGAAGGTTAACCGAGCACGATCATTAAATAGTAGAAAATCATAGGTTAGTTTTTTTGTTTGTGTGACAATTGAGGCTGGTAAATTAGTGAGGGTTTTACATGAATGGTGTTACGAAAGAGTAAATGAATGTTCAATCTTTGAAACTCTTGAGGCAAGTGAGTCTTTATTGGTTTTGAAAATACGTTAGTGGGCACATCTTCACTTTACATTTTTTCCACTCTTGTACATTATTATATATCTCCAGTTACGCAAAAAAAGCCTTATTATTGGTTGCCGTTCGTAATTTAAAAAAAAAAAAAATCCAAAGTTTTTATATATTTTTTTGTAAATGGGAAAATATACAAATATAAAAACAAAATCAAAATCGTTGGTTTTAAAAATAACATTTATTATGACTCGGGCCATTGCCGGACCTAACCGGAGACGAGAAACCCTCCCAAGTTTGAGTCTTTAACTTTTGAAGACTACTACATTCACTGCAAACTCAATATGCCTCGTCGGGATGGATAGCCTCAGAAATATTCCTTTACGAAAATAGGGATTGTTTCCATATTTTGTTAGAAAAGTTTTTCAGAATGATTGAAAATCCCCATACATCGTAATAATTGATGTACCTCATGCATTATTGAACAAATAAATTAACAATTAGAAAATTCTCTAATTGTTTGATTGGCTATAACTTTACATGTATGTAATGTACCTCATGCTTGCATGCATTATTGTATTAATTGATAGAAACGTTCAAAATAAAAAATTCGAGTTTGACAGTAAGTAACACTGGAATATCAAAAAGCGTGGCAACTAATTTAGTCATCACCAACCACACCACCTTCCACTGTTTAAAATACCTATCTCATCTTCTCTTTTTCAACGTGTATACCCTCTCCAACGAAGCAAATCAGAAGAAGAAGTGAGCAAATTAAGAGTCATGGACGTTGAGAGAGACCAAATCGTATCCACAGGACCAATCCCTATCGTCGATCTAAGCCAAACCAACGAGGAGCTAATGGCACGTGCCGTGGTGAAGGCGAGCCAAGAGTGGGGAGTTTTTCAGGTAGTGAATCACGAGATCCCGGAGGAACTTTTACGGAGGCTACAGAAGGTTGGGAGACAATTCTTTGAGCTTCCAGAGAAAGAGAAAGAAGCCGTCGCGAAGCCAGCAAACTCCAAAGATATCCAAGGATACGCGACAAATAGCCACAAAGAAGATACACAAGATGGAGCCGATCGATCCGACCATCTCTTCCACAATATATCGCCACCTTCCTGGATCGATTACAGATACTGGCCCAAAAATCCTCCACATTACAGGTACAATATTACATACCAGATGCATTTTGACATTTAATTTTGTTACATTTGCGTTTACAACAATATTTATAAAAAAAAAACAGTCAATATTGAAGTTGTCCTTAGATCATATATAGATTCCCTCAAACGTGAAATTATATAACTACTCTTATAGTCTCATTAGAAAATACGGTAAAAATCCAAATCATCTTAATTATAAATTATAAAGGAATTAAAATATTTTCATGCGCTTGTGTTTGGTCTTTGTGTTTACAGTTAACAAAAAGAGAGAAAATAATTAAACTAGTTAAGGTTGAGTGTCTTCTTAAGAAAATACACAGTAAATACAAATGTTAAACACAAACAAATAATGAAGCGGATAGACCTCAATTATTAATCATCGATTTCTCATAACTAACTAATTAACTTATCAATATTTGGGTCAATGCATCCAGGGAGGTGAATGAGGAGTACGCAAGGCACGTGAAAAAGCTAGTGGAGAAGATCTTAGGTTGGTTATCTGAGGGATTAGGGTTAGATCGTGAGGCCTTGATCAAAGAAGGTTTTGGAGGTGGCGATACAGCGGTTTATACGATGAAGATAAACCATTATCCACCATGTCCAAAACCAGGTTTAGTCCTAGGACTACAACCTCACACTGATATCCACGGTTTGACAATTCTTGTCCCAAATGAGATTCCAGGACTTCAGGTCTTCAAGGACGACCAATGGTTCGACGTCGAATATAAACCTTACGCCATCGTGTTCCTTATCGGCGATCCCATCTTGGTCAGTTTCATTCCAATTAAGAATATACATGACTTGTGTATATATTCTATATGATTATAATATGTTGGATGATATTACAGAGAATGAGCAACGGAAAGTACAAGAACGTGTTGCATAGAACGACCATGGACAAGGAGAAGACGAGGATGTCTTGGGCTGTTCTCTTGAAGCCTACTTATGATAAAGTCATTAGACCTTTGACAAAACTCGACGACGAGGCTCCCAAGTTTAAGCCCATCACCTACGGGGACCACGTATACCGCAAGGTCAATAACCTTCCTCTCGACTAAGTCAGAATCCTGGAGGTTATTGTGCCTTGTATAGTTGTATTATCTGTTCTTTTCATACTATAAATTTGGATTAACATATTGTATTATATATTAAGCTTATCTTGATTTATACTATATATCACACATTGTGTAGATAACTACTTAAGTCTTCAAAAAACAAAGTACTTCGTTTGTGGTTGCACGAGATACACGTTCTTGATAATATATTTTCTGGAAAATAAAGTATTAATACAATATAGTCACTAATTAACCCAACACATATGCAATAACTCAATACCAACGCAATAATTCTGTACAAATGCAATAATTTAATATCCATTATCTACTAATTTTTTGAACTAAATTACTCGTGGCGCGTGCGGTGGTGAAAGCTAGCCAAGAATAGAAGCATTCTGCTTATTTTCAACTCTCTGTTTTTTTTCTCCAATTTTATATTCTTCACCAGTTCAAACTCCTAAGATTTGAAGCATTTCATTGTAAAAAAAAACTTTTGTTGCAGTTAGGTACTCCTATTACATTACAAGTTACAACAATAGTAACAACTGGAAAATAAAGTCTTGATTATGTGCAAAAAAAAAAAAAAAAAAAACTTCATGTAATGTAAGGCTATTGTTGTCAAAAAAAAAATGTAAGGCTATTGGAAATATTGATCATATAAGAGCAACTGATATCTTTTGCTTAAGATTGCTTGAGAGTGTTAGCTTTGATGCATGTCCTATGTTACACTTATAAGAGCAATTTCGCATGGGTTTGTTTAAGTAGAACGTCTTGATCATGAGAATCTATGAAAAACCCTAAAACTATAGTTTTTCTTCATACTTCACTCAATGCCAGATCATAGGGAAATTTTCAAAAATGTCATTTAGACCATCCGATCGAACACAGAGCTTAAAGTGTTCATCAACAACAACAACTCTCTCTTCTTCCACTCATGTAGGTAATTACATATGTCTTAGTATATTTTGTGAAAGCTGTGAAACCAAAAAAAAAAAGCAAACTTAATTTGGACAAAAAAAGAAAAAGAAAGACTGAAAAGCTACATGGCAAAGAGGAGACGACTGCACAGAGTTAGTGAAAAATCTTGTGTCTATAGAGCCGTCATGGGTTCATGTGTTGATAGAACCGGGAAAAATCTCAATTGTATCTCCTTGAGCAACACCGTTCCTGATGAATGACTGGTCATCATCCATTATTCTCTGTTTGTGTATAAAGATATATCCTTCTTCAGGCAGATTTAGTTGCTGAATCTTCTCCAGCTCTCTCCTCAGTACTTCAACTTTCTCACTCGCGTTCACCTCCAATGCAAACTTCCTCACAGGTTTATTCTCACGTGAATATGGCAACATCATTACTCTCATCTTCCTCCTCACAGGCGAATCTGGAATGTTAATGACCTCTTTGATTGAGTTTGACGGCTGAGATTGCCCCGTCTGAACCACTTGGTTGCTACTTCCAACCCTCACAGGCAAATCTTGATCGTTGATCCTCTGTCCTGTTGAGTTTGACGGTGGAGATTGCTCCGTTTGAAACAGTACTTGATTGGTGTTGCTCCCTGGTGACTCTTCAGGCCAATAACTTCGAATGTTACTGAAATTTTCAATTGTCAAAGGATGGTCCTCATCGTAAATGACACCTCCAATCGAAATTGACGTTACTGAAGAAGATTGACCGATTTGAGGAAGCACTTGATGATTGTCCATCAAAGTCGAATCTTGAATGTTACTGATCATCTGACTCATTGACGTCGTCGTCACAGGCCAATGACTTGCAATGTTGCTACCTTGGATTGAATTTGAAGATTGCTCGATTTGATGAAGCATTTGCATCACAGACGAATCTTGGATGTTACTGATCGCTTTGGCTGCCAAAAAGAACTCTTCAAGTGAATTTGATGGTAGTGGAGATTGCTCATTCTGATTATGAAGCACTTGATCATTGTTTCTCCTCAACATCACATTCGCGTCTTGATGATTGGTAATCATTGTCGTAGGCGAATCTTGAATGTTCAAGATCGGTCGGATTATTGAGTTTGATGGTAGTCGGATTGAGTTTGATGGTAGTGAAGATTGCGTTGTTCGTTGAAACGCTCGATAGATGTTTTGATAAGGTCTATAAAAACGAGTGAATAAGAACTCGAAACGAGATTTTTCGACGATCCCACGTTGTTGGAGAGTTTGATCGTCTTTAAGAAGAAGCTTGCTTTTGAAGAAAATGAGTTGTTTGGAAACAGGGATACCTTGAGTCATTTCGATCTTTTGTTTCATCACTAACACTGTATCCCAAGGATCTACTTCAATGGAGAATTCTAAGCCTCTCGGAGTCTTGAAGAAAAGCTTCATAATTGTATCAATGGTGGTGGAGACTCGTGAAGAAGAAGAAGAAGAGAATCAAGAGAGAGAGAGAAATAGAGGAAGCGATGATTTGTAACGAAGGTTTTCTCATAATTTTGGTTTCAATCTTCCTTTCTTCACAGAGCCAAATGGACCTCGTTTGGGCCTGGCCCATATTCACCTTTTTTCTTATGTGTTTACTTAAGTTGAAGAATCTTAACCGTCGATATGTATTCTTACTTAAGTTGAAGAATCTTAACCGTCGATATGACCCGAGAACTTGCCCCGGTTTCTCTTCTTCCCCAATTTTCAATTCGCGTTCGATTCTGAACTAGCTTGATTCATCTCTATATCTCAGGCGAATTTCTTCGTTCGTTTATCTTTAACCAGAAACTGTTAATTCTGCATCTCTATATCTCTCTCTCTGCCCTGTTTTTGTGCTGATTGTGTTTGCTCAAGCTAACGTTAGTGTCTATTGCCATTTTTTGTCAACAAAGATTTGATATTTGACGCAAATCATTTCATCTTTATACTCTTGATCCTCATATAATGCCATTCAAAAAATGTCACTGTGGAAACACACAGGTTAAAGAGTGAAGCTTGATCAACTTTTTTTTGCACAGGAGGTGATTATACAACAACGAGTTTCTCTTCTTTCAGCTCATATCGGTAATTACATATGTCTTAGTCATATTTGCAGAAAACTGTGAAACGAAAAAAGCGAACTTTGGAGGACCCAAAAAAAAGAAAGAGAATAACTTTGAAGAAAGTCTGAGAAGAAGCTATAAGGAAAGAGGAGACTGAACACAGAGCTAAGCTCCATTAGCGACCCACCATACGAATTCTTCTGTCATCTGGACGGTCGTCGTTGGTAACATGTCCTGGAAAAATCTCGATTGAATCACCGTGAGCAACACCGTTTGAGCGGAATGACTTATCATCTTCCAACACTACCTGGTTGTGTATAAAGAAATACCCTTCTTCAGGCAGATTCAACTGAAACCTCTGTTGATTCCTCTCCAGCACTTTCCTCAGTACTTCAACTTTCGCACTCGCGTTCACCTCCACCGTAAACTTCCTCACAGGTTTATCCTCAGGGGAATATGGAAATATCACTACACTCAGCTTCTGCGGCGGTTTTCTTGCGCTCCTCCTCACATTCACAGGCGAATCTGGAATGTTAATGACCTCTTTGGTCGATTTCTCATTGCTCTCTTGAGTGTTGTTGATCCTCTCTTCTGTTGAGTTTGACGGTAGTGGAGATTGCTCCGTTTGAAACACTTGACTACTCTTGTCTTTAATCATCTCTTCCGTTGTATCTGCAGGGCTGTAACTTTGGATGTTAGTGAAATGTTCGGTTGATAAAGGCTGATCCTCACCGAACATGAGGTCTCCAAATGAGTTTCGCAGAGGAGATGGCTCCCTTTGATTATTGCTCTTGTCTCTCCCCGACAAATCTTGAAAGTTGCTCGTCATCTCTCCGGTTATGAAAGGCTGATCCTCACTCAACATGAGTTCTGTAAATGAGTTTGGCAGAGGAGATGTCTCAAACCTTTGATTGCTGGACTTTGACGACGATACTTGAGATTTCTCAGGCCAATCTTGATTCAAAAAACCATCAGTTTCTTTTGACGTTGCTGGAGAATGCAGAACTTGATCCTTTCTGCTCTCGGCCATCATCGTCACACTCGAATCTTGATTCTTTTCGTGAAGCCAATCTTCAAAAGACGTTGAATCTTGATTCTTTTCGTGAAGCCAATCTTCAAAAGACGCTGACGGAACTGGAGATGGCTCTGCTTGCTGAAGAACTTGGCTGTTGTTGTGATCATCAGGGATGACGAGTAAGAGTTGGAGACGAGATTTGTCGACGATATTGTATACTTTGGCTAAAAAATCGTCGTGAGTAAGAAACTCGCCTTGGAAGACAAGGTTTTGGTAGGAGACAGGGATCCTTTGAGATTTCTCGATCTTCCTTTTGATATCTAACACTGTATCAAAGTAACCCAATTCAATTGAGAACGTTACGCCAGTACTAGTGTCGACGAACACTTCCATAAATGTATCCATGGTGTCTCAAGATCAACAGAGAGTCAGACTGATGAAGAAGAAAGAAAAAGAGAGAGAGCGAGAGAGAGAGGGAAGGTGATGTATCCGTAATCTCGTTTAAATCCACGTACAAAATGGGTTTTTGGTTTGGGCCTGCCCTAATATTTACCTTATTGTTACGTGTCTCTTAAGTTAATGAAAGCCTCTTCGAAGAAGAACAAACTCGTTTGAAAACGCAGCGTAATAAATAATAGATCCGACCCATTTACCCGAAAAAGTTGACCCGCCTCTGTTCGTCCCCAAGTAGTGAATTGATTCAGAAGTCTCTAGCTTGATTCATCTTTCTGAACAGACGATATGGTGATTCTTCGTCGTTTCTTTTCGATTAGGTTTTTAATGGGAACTTGTTATTGAAGTTTCCAGTTTTGCCATTTTTCTTAGGTTGTTCTGCCTCGTTTGATAGAGAAACATTGATCTACTGTTGATTAAAACCAGAAGTTTCTCGTTGAATCCGATGTTGAGAGGACTAATTTGAAGAAATACACACCAATATAAGCCATCGTTATTAAGATTCAGCTTCCATTAGGGTTTTTTTTTTCTTCTTTCATCTGAGTGATTTACAGTACAATTGAGTACATAGATGCCCAAAATGTGTTTGGAAGTGTGTTCACTTGACATAAACAAAGTTTTTTTTCCTTTTTAGTGTCAACAAAGATTGATATCTACTTAAAAACATATGCTCTTTCTCCCTTAGATTAAGGGCTTGTTTATTAGGTTTGAACAATGTATTGAAATACAATTAGGTCGATAATATATTCTTCAATATAAAAACACTGTTGCATGTTAAGAGCCACCGGAAACACTTCCATTGAAAATCTCAATAGTATCGCCGTGATCAACACGGTGCCACCGGAATGACCGGTCATCATCCATTACATTCTGTTTGTATATAAAGAAATAACCTTCTTGAGGCAGACTTACCTGAAACCTCTGTTGAATCTTAGCCAGCTCTTTCCTCAGCTCTCCAACGTTATCACTCGCGTTCACTTCCACAGGAATCTTCCTTGTCCCGCATTTCGGGAGCACCATTACTCTCAGCTTCTTTGGATTGTTGTTGTTGTTGTTGCTCACAGCCATCGTCACAGTCGAATCTCTATGACCGGTGATGATCTGTTCTGTTGTGTTTTGCGGTGGAGATTGTTGCTCTGTTTTGAACACTTGGTTGATGCGGTTTTGGTCGTTATTGTCACCGGGAGAAGAGATGAAGAGCTGGAGACGAGAGTTGTGGAGAATCTGACATTGTTCGATGTCAAGATCGTCTTGAAGAACATTGCCTTGGAAGAAAAGGGTTTGTTTGGACACAGGGATACGTTGATACTTCTCGATCTTCTGTTTGATCTCTAGAACCGTATCAAAGTAACCCACTTCAATGGAGAACGTTGAGCCTCTCTGAGTCTCGAAGATCACATCCATATGTAGATCAATGGTGGAGACTGATGTAGAGTGGAGAGATGAGAGAGAGAAAATGATGTCAACTTTGGAGTTTTTGTAACCAAAGTTTCCTCATAATGCGTTAACTAATGACCTATTTCCACGGATTCTTGATTTTTTTATTTTAAATTCTCTCTGTTTTATTTTCTTCCTTCTCAAATTTGCTATTTTTGAAAGACATTTATCTAATCCTTCTTTGTCAACGACTCAATAAAAGAAAAGTATTATTTTTTCCAATTCTTGAAAAAACAAATGCAACCAATTGTGTACTGGTTCTGGATAAATGGAGATATGTATGAACTTTCAATTTTTGAAACTCTCAATTCAAGTGAGTCTTCTTGGTTTTGAAATTTATGTACTGTGCAAATTTGACTCCATCTGCGGTTTGAAAATAACTATATAGAGCCTTATATTTCCAATAAAAATTTGCCTAAAGAGTAAAGACTTGAAGCACATCACAACTTTACATTTTGGTTAGGGAATTGTATTGTCAATAATCTACCTAAGTAATGATGTTTTCATTTTCATCGATCACATTGTAATCAGTAATCGCCACAACGAAAACAACTAAAGACAGAGAAATCACCTAAAAGCTTAATGTACATTTGAACTTTGAAGTGATGTTCTTATATCCTTTTTGTGTAAATAGCAATATAAGGTAATATTTTGAAGATATACTGATAATAAAATCGTACACAAGAACGAAAAAAAATGCAACACATGCCTCTGGGGATTTAACAGACTTCATTCTATCTATAAACCCTGAGTTAACCTAAACTGAATTTGCAGAAAAAAAGACAGGAACAAAAGAGAAGAAACAGAGCATTGCTTAGACAAGGACCAGATCAAAGGGGCTTGGCTCAGGCTCAGGCTCCACCTACACTGACCACAGGCTCAGAGGTGGAATCTCCAGCTGGAGAAGTAGCAGGAGGAGGAAGAGGAAGCAATCGCTTCTTCTGCGCGCGTGGAGGCAAATGCTTCACATGTTTTCTTGAGCTAACTGATGAGGTCCATGGTAAGAAAACACCAGTACCACCACCGGTTCCCATCACACCCGGGCTCGATAGTACCATCGGTTGAACCGGTGGTGGTGCCATCATGACCATTGGAGGACGAAGCACTCCAAGTTTTGGCATCATGTCAATGGAATGATCAAAGCCATTGAGGTATGGAGTTGGTGTCATTTGGTAGTGACACGGTGGTGGTTGTTGCCACATTGTCATTACACCGTCGTGGTGAGGACTGTTGAGTTGTGAATGGTTATGGTTGGTTTCAGGTCGTACACGAAAGAATGTGATGCTGACTCTTTTGGTGTTTGATGGACACATTACATGCCTTGCCATGTCTGCACTGTTCCCTCTCATCACCAACAGAGATCTATACAATGATCAGACCCGAGCTATGTTAATGGAAGAAATAGACATTTTTCTTAGAGTTAAAGGAAGATGTTATCCATGCTTTTGTACCCTTGTTTGAGAGAAAGCGTTAATGGTCCTCTGAAGTTGCCTTCGTTGTCACTAGAGAGAATGCGTCCAAATGCCATTGTTGATTCAGAGAGGACAAGAGTGGAGATTGGTTGTTCTAGATGAGGTGGTTTGAGGAAAGGCTGTGAGTATTCACCCTGAGACAAAGCGCGGTTCCTAAACGTCAAAATCAAAGCGAGAAGAAGGAAGAACATGATTGTAATCCATGGAGATATTATATATATATATATATATATACCTCTTCAAAGAAGTTGATGACGCAGCCGTTTGGTCTCTTGTATTCTGGGACGAGTCTCCATGTGACAAAGTGATGAATGACACTCTCAAGAAGTGGTGGAATCGGCTCGATGTTAACTGCAAACGAACACAAGTCTCCCGGTCAAGCCAACCACTTGCATCAAACCATTTAGACTGATGAGTCCTGCGGATCAGAGCGATTCCTTACCAGAGTCGTTGCTGTCGTTGGAGTTTTCATCCTTAGCATGGCCAAAGATCGGGACACCAAGCTGAATCAGCTCTCTCTTGTTCCCTTTTATCTGTTTGTTAAACAGGATAAAGCTATCACCTGCAAGCTTCCCGTTTTGGCCAGCTTCTCGGAGTTGTGCCACAAGGTCTATCAGTTTGGATAACTCATCTTCTTTAAGTAACTCTTCATACAGCTTTAGTCCTTTCACAACATTCACCTATCATCATCACAAAGATTGATTTAACAACAGTCATATGCATATGTGTCCCTCAAAAGAAGTCATCAAAGGAGGAGAATAGAAATTCGGAACTGCACACTACTCACAGTGTGGCCTTTCACTTGCTCTTTGGCTTGGAAACCTTTGATAGGCTTGATCTCACATGAACGTGCATCGCAATCTTCATGGTTCTGGCAAATAATCTGTGCAGTATCCGCAGCAACAGTTTGTTGAACATCTTGATGAGAACCTATGAAACCAAATTAAACCAAAGTGTTTTGTTCATACTAAATACACACCGCGTATTAGTTGCATATATATTGTCTTTTTACGCAATTAACAAATGTGATCTTTGTCTTTAGTTAGAAAACCATCTACTAGAGTAGTAAAGCCAGTTTCTAGTTTTTTCTCCAACGCAAGAATCATCTCATGGACCATTCTAAGAACTAATAGTTTTCCTTGTAAAATGTATCAGAGAAAGTCAGCGCAGAGATTCAATGTAGAAGACAAAAAAGGAGTAATAGTTGGCTTAGTAAGTAGACCATCGACTAGAGTAAAGACAATTTCTTTTTTTGTTTTCTCCAATTTCATGGACCATTCTAATCAAGAACTTAAAGTTTCCTTAGAGAAAGTCAGAGATTTCAATGCAGATCTGACTCTGAATCCCAATGTAGAAGAAAGACAAGACTATACAGAGTCTATGCCTTCGTGCACGTGTCTCATTTTATGATGTATCTAAAACTTCGACTTTCAACACGAGTGAATAAATACATACACACATCACGAAAAACACTCTCTAGACTGGTAAACAATCTTTCAAAAAAAAAAAAAATGCTGCTGACTTTTTCAATGGCCGTGAACAAAAAGCAAAAAGCTAAGAAAGCTAAAATGATAAAAAAGAAGAAAGTGCTCGTGAGTCGTGAGGGATTCGAACATTCGGGAGAAGAAAGAAAAATAAAAGAAGGGCGGCACGGAAAATCGTGGTCCCCACGATTGATGACGACCTAATAGTGATTAAAATCCAACGGCTGCTAAAAGAACTCACCATTCAAAACGAGAAAAAAAGAAAGAAATAAAATCATCACACGCGAATCAATGTGGAGATTGATACCTTTGATGCGTTTTACAGTTACATCAACTAAGGCACAAGACTACAAAAATATGTTGCTACTAACACACACACGCTACATTGAGAAATGGAATCCTAATCTTTAAAAACGAAACGACTACGTTTTCTGCCCTTTAGCTTATGGAGTCAGAGAGACTTTATAGTTTATAGATTATGCTTTTTCAATACAGTTACTTACCGCAGATTCGTCCTTTTGTACGATTCTCATCAAAGTTTGTGTTAATTTTGTTTTCTCATTTGTAATATCCCTATACTAAACTAATGTCCTCATTGTACTCCATAATCTAGAAATTAATTTACGTATTAAGCTAAAAAAAAATCTAGGTCAAGAAAATTGTTAAAAATTGTTCATCGCCAGGTTTATAAGACGACAAGCAAATGCGTTAAACGTAAATATTTTTTTGATTAAAGCACTACTCTGTTTACTTTCAATTTAAAAATACTTTTGTATTAAAAACAGAACGTTGAACAGAAAAAAAATAAGATTTTTTTCTTTACGGAGAATCTGGTTATTTTTGGTAAAATTGTTTCTAAAATCGGATCCATGGCATTAATGATGCAATAAAATTGATTTTAAAAATATTATGAATTAGGAATCAAAAAGTCAAAATCGTTTTAGAATACATATCGGATCCAGAGGAGGGAAACACGTACTTGAAAATTGAAACTTGAATTAGTCTGATTAATATTTCTTTTCTTACTTATTCAATCTTTTTTTCTCTTAAACAAAGTAATACTTATATATTTCTCTATTTCAAAAAAGGGGAAATAATTATTTTTAAACCTATACCAACAATTTTAATGGAGTTTTTTTTCTCGTCACCAACCACAAGAAGACTAGTTTACGGTGTACAGAGAATCAAATGACCAAACTTCAAAGAATATGCTATTTAGCAATCATAATGAAAAAAAAAAAAAAAACAGAATTCAGATTCAGATTTGAGTTTACGAAAACCGATCATTGTAATAATTATATAGAAATTCTTGGATCCATGAAATATTAAAAACTTTGAAAAGATTCTTTTTCGAACGACTTTTGAAAATTTGTGAAAAAAGGAAAGTTTTACTTACCTGAATCAGTGATATCACTACTGGGAGAATCGTCTTCCACTTCTTCTACATCTCCGTTTAGCTCGTTTTCCGTTAATTTCTCGCCGTTAAAACAAGCTTTCTTCACCACCTCCTCCGCCTCTGTTTTCATCTCTTTCAGATCCTCCGCCTCTGTTTTCCTTTCAATCAGATCCTCCGCCTTCTTAGCCGCCACTTTCTGCAGCTCGATCGCCACCTCAGCGATTGAATGGTACTTCTGCATCTGGAGAACTGGGATCCAATTCAGACGCCGGCGATGGATCGCGGCGAAAACAGCGTCGTATTCCGATCCAGAAACCGCCTCGTCTCCGGTTTTCCGAAGGTGCGCGCACATCGCGTCGATTATCGCGTTCGCTGCCGCGAACTCGCCTCTGAACCACGAGATTAACGCATCCTTCCCCAGTCCTTCAGAAACCACAGCTCCCGGCGGAAGCTGAACCGGAACAGCCACCGGTTTCGCCGCCGTCGCGTAGGCAGGGGAAAAAGCAGAGACTGATCGATCTGTCTGGTGTGCTGGCGCTGCCGCTATCGTCATCAGCGAAAAAACTCCGACGAAGAAATCAGATATTTGGTTAAATTGTCTCTCTCTCTCACTCGCACTCGGGATCGACTTTCCGATCACTCGGCGGCGAAAACAGAAGAAAACAAAATTGGGTTAGAAATGTGGGCCGGGTCGATTTGGTTTGGGTCGGGTCGGGTCGCTGCACATGAAGTATAATGGAGAAGGTTTTTAGGAGTAGGATCGCTTCAATATATATTGGAGCAGTCGGGAAAGGGATCCGTACAGGTAGGGAGAGACTTATGGTGATGACGTGGCAGTCTATCAAGGCTGACGTGGCCAAATTTCTGGCCCTTTGCCCCGTTTTTTTTTATTCCACCGAGATTAAATAAAATGTGGACGTAAAGTTAATTTTACGTAAATCTGTTAAAATTATATGTACTGTTAAAACACTTAAAATTATACTACTCCGCACATTTTATTTACAGTACATGCAAACACTAAAATCAACTTTACGTCCACAATCTGTAAAAAGATCAACTATAGTCTATAGGTCGAACGCAACAACATGATGTAAAACACTAATTCAGTGGTCTCAATTAGCATTCACAAATAATTGGTTTTTATATATGTTTACAAAAATTTTAGTTTTTGAAATGATTAATTTAAATCGTATGTATTAACCTGTTATTTTGTAATTTTTATTTTTTGAATTGTTAATAGTAATAATATTTTACAATTTAACCAATCGGAGCTAAAACTTAAATACAAGTCTCAAATTTGTTCAACCAAAAAAAAAATCTCAAACGCTTTTGCATACACTTAAAATTTCTCACAAATACATTAGTATGTTTAATGGTTGTTCCTAAATCAATGTGATTTAACTAAAAAGATCGAGCTGGGCAAACAAGGATATTATATTCACTTCTTTTAAAAGAGTCATGTGTTTTTTAAGTTCTTTCAAAAGTTGTGACATGGTCTTACCTTTTTAGGTTGATGTTAGTGCACAAATAGTGTTCATTGGGAGAGAAAGAGGCAAGAATAACAAAAGGACGGTGAAGAACAAAAGAAAAAGAGTTATATTGCCTTGTTACACAAATGACCTCCAATTATGTATCTTTTCTGAATCGTAAAGGTCTAACAGTATTTTTATTTTTTATTTCTATTACTGGAAGGTTGTGTATACCAAATTTCATTTTTTGAACTACTATAACCAAAAAATCATAGTACTGTACCAACAAAAATCTGAACTATAAAAAAACACATTTTTCAAATTTTCATTTAAGCTATTAATTACAATGGTTAATTATGAAAAAATTGCAGTATTTAATGATTCCCTGCTTAAGAAACGAAAGATTGCAGAATTTAATGATTTATGGTTAATGTTCCGTGTTATGTGTTTTTTAACTTTACACCAAACGAACTCATGAGTCATGATGTCAAATGTCCATGTCCATGAGGCCCGTGGAAGATGATCTAAGAGATGACGTATAAAATAATATTAATCAAACTGATTTTTATATACATACAAGGTGTAAATTCGTCTAAGACCTTCTACTATTGTCGCTGTTCTCATTTGACTTCTTCCTTTGTTTATATAGTTTAATTTTTATAAGGTCCCCTCGACGTGATTAATTATAAGTTTATAACATCAAACATCACATACTGGTTTTTAAAACATTTGTGACTAAAGATTTGTCATCTCTTAATACTCAATATGATATTATCATGTCGTAAGATAGTATAGATTATTATTATTCTAGCCTGATCGAGTTAAGTAGAGATTGCATAGTACTTTTAATTCACATAAGTGTAGTTAATTCAGTTAATTAATATTTTCTCTCTAAGTTTAAGAAATCATAATTTGGGTCGTTGCATTATCATCAATGGTTAATTCCAAATTAGCCCGATTACAAACAAAAAGTCTAAAACTTTCTAATTAGGATTTACAATTGTGAGATATATACATATATGAATCTTAATGGTTATGTCAATAAAGTCTAACATTGGAATGCAACATTGGTCTCTATACACTAGTTTTACTTAAAATTAAATGTTGAAAGTTTGTTGAATTCGATGGTGTTTGACAAAAGTGAAAGTTGAATTTTATAATAAGACTAATAATAACATACCCATAAGGAGCAAAAGGTTATGTAGCCATGTCAATAAGAAAGGTTAGAAGTATTGAATGATGGCTTAGAACGAACAAAATGTAAAACTATGGGACCCTAATGAAAAAAGTCCACAAATTGGTGGGGTGAGGTGAAAATTGGGCCTACGTCTTCCAGATTTGTGGGTCGCAGGAACATCTCCACCCTCTAACATTCAGAAGATTCCCTTTTCCACTACCTATGGCACAAACTAAAAAGAGGCATGGGAATAACTACGAACCCTTGGGCACATACTCAAAAGAGGCATGGGTTTAACTAGGAACCCTTACAGACCCTAAAAGCGTTGCTCCTCATTTTATTCATAAGAAATCTCCTTATCATGATATATTTACTATTAGTATTTTTTGTACATGTGTCCCTTATATATATATATTCTACGTATTATTTTATCTATCTTCCCATCATATTACAATATTAGTTGTTGCCATGCAATACTTTTTTTTCCATGCGTTACTAGTTTGTGTACCTTAATACAATGGAATTGCCGACCAAAAAAATATATTTGCGTACCAAAATACGGTTGTGATTGATGCTCAAGAACATCATAAATTGATCGTTTTTATTATTCATACATAATAGGTTAAATTATTTATATATTTATTAACAAAGTAATCGTTTATAAGTCTGATTAATCCAAAGGTACACATCTAATTACTATGTTTTCTTATTAATTAACTAGTGTTATATATACATATCTAAATTCACTTTTCCATAGGGATTAAAGTAACTTTTTCTAAGAGAATACTGTTACATGTGTTGGACCCTAAAGAAGTTTTTCTTCTTACTTTAGAACGGGTTTTAATTAGCTATCTAAATGAAGTTATGTTAAAAAAAAAGGTTATCTAATTGAAGTAAGTCTTTGAGTTGCCTTTTCCCCCATTTATATATTGTTATTTAGATACATATATAAATAATGAAGTTACTTTGTCGAATATGTCGATATCGCATTATTCGTGTAGATAGATAGAGATACCCTCCTTCCATGTGAGAAAATGGTCCAACCAAGTAAAAGCTAGCTTATAAATTTGTTTATTATGAGCCTTTATATACAACACAATAATTAATGAAATCATTAAGTTTTGATTGGCGTAAAGCTTATAATTGTTCATGGAATATATGAGCCAGGCTCTACAAGAAGAAGGGTAGAATAGTTTCTCTCTTTTTGTAAAATGGCTAAGAATAATTTATCTCGACAATGAGGAACAAAAAAGATGACTTTATATAGAAATATTAAAATAAATTAATCTTTTTGACAGCATATAAATATATATATATATAGAAATCTTTTTGACTATATATATATATATATATATATTTAATATTTGACATACTGACGTTTGTAGTGCAACACTGAAAATATCTTTGGTTAGTAAAATAATTTTCGATCTCGCTAATATGGAACCTTTTTGTAAACCTTAGGTGTAATTTTATCTATAGCAACCTTCGGTGCAATGAGTTCAATCATGTATTTAATTTTTGTATATTATAGAACAGTTAATAGTTCATGTATTTTGTTTTAGTTTTGACCAAAAGTTAGTTAGATAATATTTCTTGTATTACGGCTCTATATATAAATAAATATACGTGTTAATGGATTCTGCAGAACCCAGTTTAACCATACACATATAGTTTAACGATATTAATGGATAATCATCCAAAACTCAGCTTTTAGTGTCTAAGCTTAAGTTATAACAAACTTAATTAAAGACGATGAGACATTAGCGATATATGATAAAAACAATTAAAGTTGAAAAAGTTATATTCTATTTACCTTTGCCGTTAAAAGGTACGATAAGTAGAAAAAATATGCTCTTCTCTTCAGAGCCTCAAAGCCTTGAGAAGATTCTTAGATATCTTACATGTCAAAGTAGTAAAGAGATAGTTGGTAACACATTCCCATGTGGTCCGGAAAACAAAAGTTCCCTTTACTTTTTTGGAATATTAATCAGCAAATTGGTGTAGCATTCTATGTTGCATACGTACAACATATAAATATCTATAATCATTTACTTTGAAAAAAGATTCTAGTAAAAGATGAATGTATATTGAGTCCATTGGTTGGTCTAGTGATCTTAAACTCTATGATGTGATGTTTCTTATTATTGCTCTAATATTGTAATAATTAAAAACAAAACATTGTAATGGTTAACATTCTAACTCTGGATTATGTATGTTCATAAACTGAGTTAGAAAAAACTAGCTAGCATTCATATAACATCACGATATAAATTAATCATCTATTTCCAACTTACTACATATTTTGGTCTACTTTAGAGGAACTATTGTATTCCTATTGTAGAGGTATATGGGGTTTAACAAAAAATTATAATTAATCATAACAGAAAGATGTTGGTCTTATCAATATTTATTGCTCTGAATAATTTGTTTAAGTAAAGAAATAGTAAATTAAATTCGTTGAAGTTGTTCAATATTGACGTTTATGTAGTCGATTTTGGATGTTTAGGACACATATATTGAACTGAATTTTTGGAGTGATTTAAGTTTGGTAAAATTTTATGATTTTGATGATTTTTGGTGAATTTTTTTTTATGATTTGGTTTTTATGAAATTTTATAATTTTGATGACTTGGGTTAAATTTTGATGATTTGTATTTTTAACTAAAAAAACTTCTTTAAAATTGTTTGAATCAATAAAGTTAATACTTAAAACATTTTCAATAACAATAAATGTTAAGCGATATTTATAAATTTTATATCCAATAATAGTGGATTTTAATAGACTTTTTAAAATGTATGAATAACATTAGATTTGTCATTTTAATTTAAAATCACTCCAAATATTCATTTCAATACACTTTCCAAATTTTAATTCAGTACAATATATTTTTTTGGCAAAATAAAACCATTTTTATTAATAAAATGGATTTTATTTTTGGATGCTATTTTTTAAAAAAATTTGTGAAAATTTCTCTAAATAAAAATTACATGTACTTTTTATACGGAGTCCTTTTATACATAGTTTTGTATGATATATTTTGTTTTGTTTAAGGACTCCATATAAAAAGGTTTGTGTTAT